GGCTTTCGAGAATACCATGGTGCAACGCGCGATTTGATGGGGGAGGAGGGAGGAGTAGGATGGGAAGGGGGGGGTGGGTAAGAGAAGGTAGGGTACCGGCAAGAAGAGAGAGTGAAAAATAGAAAAGGAGGAAGAAAAGGCGAGAGTGTTCAAGTTTCTCACACACTCTCTCTTGCTCTCTCTCTCTCTCTCTCTTTCTGCCCCTCTCTTTCATCCTTTCTCTCTCTCTATTCTACAGGTTCACAATTTTGGACCAACTCTTGTCGAGTGTTTTCTATGCCTGCTAACGTTGTGTGGTTTGTGTGGCGACACCTTGCTGTAATTGGCGGGCATACAATCACAACAAGCCTCGAATCCTTGCAGTAGCAAAAAGTTAGGCGGACAGCGACCGGGCGGGAGGAAACGGCCTCATTTTTACAAGAGAACAAGGCCATTGTTAGGATAGGTGTTCCACGAATAATTTTGCCGTTTCTCTCATTGCTTCTCGCATGTCATGCCTTACAAGCAAGCTGTGTGAAAAGGAAAGAAATGTGAGAAACGAAAAACACTATGGGAGATAAGAGAACAAGGCAATACGGGCAGGATAAGAAAGCCTACTCTATGATATGGTAGGATGGAGACGAAAAGGCTGCACCAACGAGAAAGTAAGAAAGGAAGCAGCAAGTCAGGCCTCTGCAAGGTGAATCCCAGCTGTTCCAGACACACATCTCAAAAGGCGCCGGTAGACTGCAGTACTGGTACCGTACCTGTACCGGCACTCGTACTCGAGTGCTCTTCACAGTGTTTCGCAATTCACACTGCCCAACCGCCCAGCCGCCCAGCCTACCCACCACCGCAACCATAGCCTTAAAATTCACCTCCTACTATCATACTTGCTTCGACTTTCCCATCTGCTTGCCCACTGTGCTGCAGTCACCTCCATCCAACTGAGCAGAAGGGTGCAGTACGCACATCCACATTAGAATCTCTTTCCCCTTCCCATCCATCCATCCATCACCATAACATCATTATCATCATCATCACCATCATCATCATTCTAATCATCGTCCACTTTCCCCCCCCAACGGACAAACTTTACTGCCCTACGTTGTCTTGTCCTACACTGCTGTACAAGACGAAAAAAGAAAGAAAGAAAAAAAAACAAGGGCCTACAATCCTACCGTACTCGTACAAACAGGAAAAGGGGCACCAAAAAAAAGAAAAAGAAAATAAATCTCCCGTGGGTCTGAAACAAATAGTACGCGAACGCCGGCAAGACATTGAACGCCAAAGGCATCCCCCCAACCTCCGAGGCGCCGCGCATACCGGTACGATACATCCTCTCTCTGCCAACCAAACGTCCTCTTTCTCCGCCCTACACATCCACCACCTCCACGCTTCAAACCTCTGGTAGATAGCTTCATCATGTTCTGTTTACGAAGGTATTTTCATCTCTCTTGCCACCGGCCTCCAATTACCCTTTCCCCTCCCCCTTCCCCCTACCTCCACCACTACCCCCGTCACTATGCAAACCACTATGCCAATCAATCGCCCAATAGCTAACAAAAAACGTGCTACAGTTGGCTCCCCCTCCTCTTCATCCCAACATCCGCCTCCCCCGCCTTCATAGTCTTGTTCCTAATCTGCACCTACCTCTTCCACCGACCTTGGTATCCCTTCCCTCCCCCGCCTCTTTCCCCCCACCTCATCAGCTAACTTTCCACCAGTGTCTACTGCTCCCTAATAATGTTAACCCTCTTCTCCTCCTCCTGCTACTGGTCCGACCGCTGCTTCTTAGATAGTAACGACGGGCACTGGTTCGAGCCGAGATTCTTATCATCCGCCGCAGGGAAGGTATTCAATGCTGCTGCAGGGGCGGTAGGTGCTGGTGGCGGCGCTGCGGTTGTGGCTGCTGCGGCCGGGGGCGCTGGCGGCGGTGCTGGGGGAGAGGAAGGGGTGGGTCAGGTCTGGACTGGTATTGGCCTAGATTGGTTGAGGACTATGTGTGGGAGGAGGGAGTGGAGGGTGGGTTGTTTGGATGTCGTTGTTAGGCTTTGAAGGAGATGATGGAATGGGGCGAGGATGATGGCGGCGGCGGCGGGGGGGTGTATTGATACAATCGGCGTAAACGGGTTTTAGAGATGGGGATACTCTTTTTCTTTTTTTCCTTTTCACTATCCTGGTCGGATGGACGGACGGGGTCGGATTACCTGAATATCTTTTTTTCCCTCCCCCTTTTTGACCCACATGCATACCTCTATTGCACTTTATTTTTTTTCCTCGATGTCTTTGGTATCTTCCCTATCCCGAATTCCCAAGGCTACCCTATGGAGACCAGCCTATCTTCACCATTCTCTCCCCCTTCTTCCTCCTCTTTGCCCATAGCTACTATGTTATAATATCTAATGCCAAAGAGTAGCGCCTCCGAGAGCACTGGATACAAGTATCGAGAAGCCTGGAGAAGACTGGTATATATTATGATGTAGGAGTCAAAAGCAAGGGCCAGCCAAGCACCTTATACCAACAAAGAAAGAAAGAAAAAACCCGACACCGATCTACCGGTAGAAGAATACATTCTAAGGTATTATAATATGCAGAAACCCATCAAATATCAAGTCTTCTGTCTCCCCGCCGCTGCCGCCGCGGCCTGCCTCTTCATCCTCTCCTCGGCTGCTTTAGCCAATACTTCCCGCATACTAGGCTGACTCCCCTCCACCATTGAACCACTGTTCATCTTCACCATCGCGGCCGGTCCTTCCCCACCCCCACCACCGCCAAGTCTAAACTCCCCCCCTTCCCACCCCTTCTCTGGAGCCTCCGCCTCAGGTGGATTATAAAACACCTGATCCGTGAGCGCGCGCCCGCCACTCTTCCAATCATTCGCTTCAACCTCCTTCTCTAGTTTATCTACCAGGCAATCCTGCATTAGCATCCCCACCCCCGACAAGCAAAACATAGTAAGGAGTGGGGGGGGATGATACTGGTAAGCTCCCAAAACTCCCTCCCGTGCCCATCCCATACATTATGCGCGAGCTCATGGCACAGCGTCCTCCGCACCGTCTTGTAATCCCGCCACCCATCGTACCAGTCCGTCCTCAGCCTTAACTCTATCACGGCGCCGCGGTTGCGATTTAGGCCGAGGGTTTTGCTGTCGTGCGTTGTGTTGCCCAGTGGTTCCACTTCTAGCAGGAGCGGGACTGTCCATCTATATTTTGCCATGACGTGCCGGATGCCCGGGTCTGTGGCGAGGCGGGTGAGGAAGGCATGGCTGGTCGCGCTGTTGGGAAGGTGTGGGAGTGGGCGGATGGTTTGGAAGGTGTAGGGGGTGGGGGTGGTTCGGGCCATGGTTGTGGTGGGGGGAAGTGTTCCACCCAGACGTTAGTGAAGGTAGGTGGAGGAAGAAGAAGAAAGCTTGAGTCGTGGATACCGGTAGATGGATGGAGGGATGGATAAATGGGCGAAGGAAGGAAGGATAGTAGTGGTGGGTTGAACCCAAGCTTTACGTTAAAAAGTCGCACTGCTCGTACTATATACCACAAAAAACTACTCAGTTCTGGATCTTTCTTTCGATACTGTACCATAGTTTGTAATCCACGATTCGTAACCGCCCCTCGGGGATAAAACCTGTGTGACTTTCTTCGTGTCCTCTCCCCGCGCCATTGAACTGTCGTTGGACTACCGTATGGCTAGGTATTTCAATAGAAATACCCCTCAAGGGCAAATTCGGGGTCACCTACATAGAAACCCTCTCCCCCCAAACATCACGGTTTCAGTATGATACCTATCATACGGTGCCGGTAATGAATACAGATCCTTCGGAAAAAGCCTTATTCCGCTGACTACCCTGGCTCCTGCTAGCGTGCGCTGCAAAAATCCACTGTATCATAGTATACTCGAGTACTGTACGGCAGATTAACGGTGACCCTATTGCGCTCTCAACCACCTTTAGCGGTCAAGGCGATTACCAAGACGGTCGGACTAGGAGTACTTGTACGTACACATTAGTGATCTTCGATCGAGCCGTTGCTCCGTCTTGCCATTGCCAATAAGTTACATAGCACACCACACATACCGACATTTTGCTCCACAGGGTAGGAGCTATTAGGTTCCAATGAAAATGGATTGCTTCAATTACGCAGTAAACTAGCCTAACCCACAATACTTGGAGCACCAGCCCATCATCTCACATCATGAATTGGTAGATATTGTAAATGAACTCAAGCGCCATAAGAGTGGCTCCTACCCCTCCCCTACCCTAACACCATTTCACTAACCCAACAAGAAGCCGGAACAAGATAGGAGAGAAAAAAAAGAAAAGGCCCCGCAAACAAGCGATAAGAGTAAAGCATTAAGCGTTTCAACCATAATTTAGGGAATTTAGCAAGGGACTGCCCTTGTTGAAGCAGAAGATATAGGTGGTGAAGGTGAATAAAAAAAAGTTAAAAAAGTAATAAGTTTAACCCAATTCCTCAAGCACACTCTCAATATCACCCATGTCAAAGGCATCCAGGCATTTCGTCCCCTCGCATACTTGAACAACTGGTTTTCCGCTGCCTTTGGCGGCAACATTTAACAGTTCCTTGTGGAGCTTATTTCTGCTCAGCAACCAATCCAACGAGTCCCCCCTGGCCGGATCGAGCTGCACAAGCGTAGTGTTAGTGAGAAGCTTTGACCGAAGTCTCTTGAGGTGTTTTTCTATAGTGGGGTCCTTAGGGTCCCCAGCAAGTACGACTGAGCGCATCCCCAAGTTTGACGCCACAATGGCGGGCATGAGAGAGGAAAACAAGAACGGATGTTGGAGTAATTCGGTTGAAAATGCGGAGCATGTTTGCTGGGCGTATTCCTCTAATTTTGGATCGCCGAGTAGGGTTCCCAGTCGGAACAAGTTGTTTGCGGATACTCCGTTTGTTGAGGGTTCTTGTGAGTCAAGACCTAGACAATCATCAACAATGGCTCGCAGTAAAACATTGACTCAAAGCCCACCGTCTTTCAACCTCAAGATCAAGTCGGATGCCCCTTCAGAGGTTGAAAAGAATCCCCCATTCTCCGCATCCCAGAAGGCATCGATCTGCTTCTGCTGCAAGGCATCCGCCCATTGCAAATACTCCACATCGAATGTCGCCTCATACCTATTATATAATCATGTCAGAAAGACCAAATAAATAACCTGCAAGGAGCGCTCACATGCACAGCAAACCGGATATCAAGAATGCGTAATCATCAGCAAACCCGTCAGCTTCCCCTGGACCATCCCTATAAACTCTCTTCAAAATTCCTGTCTTCTCATCATACAAATTCTTCCGGATAAAAGATATTGCCTCCTCTGCATTCTTTTTATACAATTGAGCTCTACGCGGATCTGTGGACTCTAGCACCCCAGCAGCTTTAGCCAACGCGGCGATTGCTAACCCGTTCCAACTAGTAACAATCTTGTCATCGAGGTTTGGTCGAGGTCTTTCCTTCAAACGATGCTGAAGGAGCTTTTGGCGAGCAGAACTGATAATGTTGGTGATTCTCTCAGCACTCATGCCATACATTTTGCTCAACTTCTCGGGCGTTGAAGCGACAGATAGCACATTCTAAAGGGACCTGTCAGTTCATATTCTTCAACACTCCACCGAAACATAAGCCCACCTGTGCAATAAATTCGTCGTGTGGGTCATTGGCTGGATCTACATTGCCGTCTCTGTGCACATTCCAATACCTGGCGCAAATCGACGCATCCTGTTCTCCAAGCATAACATCAAATTCTTTTCTTGTCCAGACATAAAATGCCCCTTCTTCATAACTTGTCAGATATTTATGTAGAAAGCT